AAACCACGACGTAAACACAAGTATAACTCAGAAGACGTCCTGCCCACCTGGTGTACAGCCCTGAGCTCTTTGATTTGTACAGGAAGTGCCTGAGCTCCGGGATGCCGACCTGCTCCACAGAGTAGTTGGGACATTTAAGTGCCTCCTTCAGGGCCTGGTAGGCACTGCGCTTGCTCAGCCTCTCCAGGAACCGCTGCTTGCAGTCGGACATGTTAAAAAAGTCCTCTCTGTCGGTCGAGACCAGGATGAGGCAGAGCTCGGACGCAGGCTCCAGGTAAGAAATGTGAGCGTGGAAAAATCCTGCAGTGTTGAACTTTGGCAGACAGATGGGCGTCCAGCCTTCGCCCTCTCGAAAGGACGAGGAGGAGCCGACGAGGTTGAAGACCAGGTGCAAGTCTATGTGGTGCAGGAACTGGTCCTTTTTCCTCACTAGAGTAACCAGGCGGTCCCCAGCCAGCAGGATGGAGAACACCAGGTTATTGGCTTTGGCGGCCTGCAGGCTCGATGAGACCATGTCCCTGGCGGAGCTGGCCAGAGGCAGGCAGGTGACGGCGCTGAGCAGCAGACCGGGGTCTCGGTCCAGCCGATGCAGCAGGTTGTCGGTGAGATACTCGGAGCCAGCCAGCAGGCGGCGCAGGTCGTAGTTCTGCTTGTGCTGGAAGATGTGGTTGAGCTGGGTGAGGGTGAGCAGGCTGACGATCTGGTAGTAGATGTACTGCAGCTCGCGCAGCAGCTCCTTGTCTGACTGACAGGTTCGAGACACACCCACCAGGACCAGAGGGCTCTTGGCGAGGAAGACCACTTTACAGCCGTCTGAGACACAAAACGTTCACAGAGTTGGATCCAACATATTTCATACAATGCACTTTTACTTATGAACCACATCCTAGAAGCAAAGCATATTCTGACCTGCATGGATGGAGCGGATGATGTTCTTCTCGGCCTCAACGAAGGACACAAGGGCCATCATCACCCCCATGGTGCTGGACAGAGCCTCCTCCGTGCCGTAGCGGGTGTAGATTGGCTTTCCAGCCTCGCTCAGCACAAACACGTGTTTCCTGTGGCTCCTCCACGCCTCACTGGACACGTCTTCCTCCTTAGTCCTAGTCTCCGATGAAATGTCGTTGTTGTGCTGCTCCTCTATGGTTTTCTCTCCCACCAGCACCGTGACGTCCTCTGCACACTCGCCTGATTTGTCCAGTTCAGCCTCCCTACCAGCCTCAGCCTCAGCAGTCAGATCCTCGAAAGACTGCGCATGGACGAACATAGCACTCTTCTGACCAGCACCTGCATTAAGGTAGGGGTAAGTGTCAGTATAATGCATGGATTTGTTATGAGCCTATAAAAACTATAAAGCCTGTTAGGGGCTGGTTTATTTTGAGTTGTTTTGCATATGTTGGCCTAACCCCTGTTTGGGGGTCAGCAATGGTTCCTTTAGAAAAGCTCAGGGAAGCGGCTGTGTACTACTCTTTCATGGAGCCTGGGCGGTTAACCAGACGTACCAAACCACTTAGTCCTAATCCATACAGTCTTTTCTCACGTAAAAGTAATAAAAAAAAGTTTGAAAACACTTCCAATAAGTCAGAAACTTCCATTGTTTGAAAACAAAGTTGAGATCTTTACTTTATAAGAGAGTTTTCAAACAATATTTTTTTTAAAAAGAGTAAAAGAATTCAATGATGAAGACCAACTTGTTGTGTATGTCTGGTTAACTCCCCACCCAACCGCTTCCCTAAGCTTTTCTATGGGAGCCATCTAGGACTGTCCCACAAGCGGGGTTAATGTTGTCCAAAACAGATGGCTGACAGTCCACAAAACATTCCAGTGAGAGAAACAGTCAATCTCTGACCACAGCTTAATCTAATTCAGAGAAAATAAAGTAGGAGGAGAATGGGACATGCGTCTGATAATGAGTCAGTTAGACAACACTGCAAAAATGTTTATCTCTAGACTCAGTAGAGCTAATCCAGGAACAGTTACATCATTTCCTCTGTCAGAGTTGGATTTGTTCAAGCTGGATGTGACAGACACACTTTCACCATGACAAAGTCACACTTTCTTTTACAGACTTTAGTCAGGAGATGTCTGTTATTTCAGTTCTCATGAGAGAGAATATGGTAGCAGTTCCTTTTTATTCTGTTGGTATGGCAAGGTCACATACATTTAGAGAGATTATTACTATTATTACACAGACCACCAAATCGATGATGCATTGAGGTGCTACAGTGTCATTCAGATTACAAAAGACACAAATTCTTGTGGTCATATGTTCAACATTTCTTTGCATAAACAGGATGTGCATACTCATACAGCGTATTGCATGGTTATAACGTAGTCGAATGGAGAAGTCACTAATTTAACTAAAATGACAAAAGTGGCATGAAAACACATTGATTCTAATACGGGTCATTTTTGACCCACTTATGGAAGAGTGTAGGGTCCAGTCACTCATGCATCTAAGGGTTAACAAACAAGTCAATCTGTTTTTTGTGCAGAAGTGTTGCCTAGCAACAGTTGGGCAGTAGGAAGTCTTCTGGTGGAACACGTTTCACCCATGAAGGAAGTTACAGAAAAGTATTACTCTTGTGCTTGTTTTTTTTAAATATGGCCAGATTTAAAAAGGTTTTGACTGAATGCTAAAAGTTTAATTGTGCAACAATGAACAATGAAAGTGCATCTCTTCCTATCCGTGACCTAAAGCATGATCTGCCCAACTGGAAGCAATTTCTTTGAATAAAATGTACTGTAAACGCTATACCCGTGTACTGTAAACATTTTCAATGTTTTGTAATATAATCCCATGGGGGATGGGCCAAGAGATGGGATGACAGTTAAAGGACCAGTGTGTAGGATTTAGTGGGATCGACTGAGGTAGTTGCAGATTACACTCCCCTCACATCACACTCCTGTTACAAGCATGTAAGAGAAATCACAAAAAACACAAAAGGGCCTATCTAGAGCTAGTGTCTGGTTTGTCCATTCTGGGATACCGTAGAAACATAGCCGACTCCATAGAAGAAGACCTGTTCCCTCTGTAGATAAAAAGGGCTCATTCTAAGTTACACAATTCTTATTTTCAGGTGATTATACACTAATGAAAACATACCTTTGAATATTATATTCCATTTCTACCAAAGAGCCTCCTAAATGTTAAATACTTTGACATTCATTCATCCATCCACTTATCAAAAGCGTAAACTTGTCCAGACCTACAGTCTTTGGGTTGATGGTGGCTATATGCTGGGATTTACTTGTTGCTGTAACAAAGGGGCATTTGAGAACACAGTTTTAGTATATTTGAGCTTTCCAATACTCTCAGAGAGACGACCATTACGCAACGTTTCAGATGATCAAGATTTATATGACACTTGACTGTAGGTCTGTCTGACAACAGACCAAAGTAACCTACAATCTGCAGAAGGTGCTGAATGTGGACCGCCTCACCTGGTTCAGTTCCCTCCACCAGACCGGGTGTGGGGCTGTCCGCCTCTCAGAGCGAAGGCGGTCCACAGGGGCCAGGGTACCATTCTCCCATGAACAAGCCGTCCTTTGGGCTTCCCATCCATCACTGCTACTTATGGCAGGGAACACCTGGCAGCACAGACACACAGAGGGCTATGGGACCAAAGGTGAACAGTTTGATGACTGAGGCTATGGTTGAAGATCAAGCTGGTTATGATGTACTTTTATAGCCACCAGTGCGCCAGGCGTTACAATTTTATGGTCCGACTTTAACCCTTTTTATTTCTGATAAATGTCAGTCTCACTCTTGTTGCCATACTGAATGGAAGACACAATAAGAGACATATAACATTTCTCCCTCATGTTCACATCCTCCTTCCTGATACAATTCGTACTCTGTTGTTGTTCCACACCCTTCGGCCCCAGAGAGACTTGTGATATGCTGTGAGAGAACTTCAAAGGCTACTTTGGTGGCTAACTTTAGCAGAGAATCAACAGCAAGTAACGCTAGCTGTGTCTGCCTTCATCCTGACGAAGAGCCCGCGTGACATGTTTTATTAATGACTAATTATTACCTTTCATGCCCGGAGCTGTCTGCATTAGCTCGTTATGCTCCTCACCTCGTTTGTGACATTAAACGTTACTGCAACTAGCTCAAAAGACAGAAGTGTGCTATTTCTCGCTAACGTTAGTCAACATGCCCTGCTAGGTTGCGGAAGTAAGAATTGTGGGATTTGAAGTTCTCTTCCAGGGAATGATTTGGGCTCTGGAGCAGCAAACAGGGCGTTTTGTCTTGAATCAAATCAAAATAATTTGGAGAGTTAATTTAAAATATGTGTGAATACGTCTGGTAGCTGCACGTTGCGTATTGGATTATGTCTTCTTTTTATCTTAGTTTAGTATTTGATCTTAATGGTGCATTCATAGCACTTCGGACATCCGATAACTGTACTCGCTAATAGTTTTCAATCATGTGACAGACGCGAACAAAATAGTTTACTCCTTTCACAGCATTGTAGGCTTATACAAAATATACTGTCAGTGGCTTATACCGAAACACAACGCCATAAATCTACATGCACCCGACGTATAGATTTAAAGGACGCTACATCAAGTCTCCAGTCCAGCCATGCAAGGCATCTAATGACATTTATAACTTATTTCTTATAACTTTTTCACCTATCCACAGTACTTTTAACATGATCACTCAAAATTAACCAGGAGTCAAAATATTCTCCTCAGAAAATTAAATCAGCTGTCTTTAAATTATTTCTATTAAGTTTCCAATTAGTATTTACTCTAATCCTCTCTCTAGAAAAAAAAAACTATAATATAATACATAATTTTAGTCTGAAACCCGGCCTTTTGCTCTCCTTTAATGTGAAGACATGTAGAAATGACAGAAGAAGAACAAACATTCAGACTTAAAGATCAAATGAGTAGTGATAAAGACGCTCATTGACAGTATAGGCCCTATTCCGTTTTACACATTCCGGGTAAAACGAGCAGCACCTGAATGCATCTTAAGGGGCGGGACTTTGCACGTTTGAACGTACAGCGGGGGAACCATTGTGTTTGTGTTAGCTAATGACGGCTTCTGGCTAATACAGTCTGTTTGACTGGGCTACAATGTCATACTGCAGACAACATTGTGGACGCTTGATGTCATTAGGAAGGACTGCGCACTAACATCAGTATTCGCTTTGTAAGTATGGCGACTGTAAAGGAGGCTCACTTCAGCGGAAGCTAACCAGTGTTAGCGGAGTTAGCTAACAGTTACATGTTAACAACGAGTGCAGCTTCAGCGAGGTGACTTTAGTTATGTCACTGTTAGCCTACTCACACAGACACTGTTGTGCTCAGGGAGAGAAGTAACGCTACACTATCGAGTAATCCAGTAATACGGGTTTTCTGTGCTATTCATAACAGGACGACCCTCGGGACAGTACGATGCCTATCCGAGCATATTGCACCATCTGCTCCGATTTCTTCGATCACTCCAAAGATGTTGCTGCCATCCACTGCGGACACACTTTCCACTATGACTGGTAATCTCAGATAGGTAGTCAAATCTCCAACAACACACCCATTTCTGACGTTTTCAATGGGCTAATTATTCCCTTCCCCCTCTCTTCTCAGTCTTGTCCAGTGGTTTCAGACAGCCCCCACGAAAACCTGTCCACAATGTAGAAAACAGGTACAGTAGCTGCTGGTAGCCCACACTGAACCAACTTACCACCCAGAAGAAGAACATCAACTGAATGATTGTTGTGCTCTGTGTGTAGGTCAGTACCAGACACATCATCAACAAGCTGTACTTTGATATTGGTGGAGAGGAGGAGGCTGCAGCGGACCCCGAAAGCTTGCAGGTACCAAACTTAAAGCATCTGAACAATATGTCTGTCCGTTTTTACTTTTTAGTCTTACAGCCCAGACAAATGCTGCAGATAGTCTTCCCATTAGATCTCTAGGATTTGATTTCGATATATTTAGTTCTCATTGTGTGTTTCTCTCTTCCTTTTAGAACGAGCTGGATCGAATGAAGGCGCTTTTAAGCTCTAAAGGTAAGAAACCTTACTGATGTGTTATGGTCATGCGTGATTGATACAAGTAGGCCGCACTTGTTCATCATCCATCTGATCAATTTGTAGAGCGGGACTGGCGGGACAAACAGAAGATGGTGGATGGTTTGAAGGACACCGTGGACAAGCAGCGGAGAGACCTGGACAGTGTGCGCAAAGAGATTATGGAAAAGGACATGCTCTGTTCGGCCCTCAGAGTAAGCTGACTGCTCTCGATTGTTTAAACCAACTTTCTGTACTGATTCATATCTCCTATTGTCACTGTAATTAGTTTTTTTAATTGTATGTAATATTTTTGGACTTCTCATAGAAACAGATGACATACCTGGAGACACAACAGAATGAAGCTCAGGCTGCCAAGGACGAGGCCCGCAGACTCAGGACCAAAATGAAAACCTTCGAAAGGTATCTGCAGTCATATAAGTACTGTTATATTTAGGCTTCTAAGTAGGGTCACACTATTGCTCACCATACTGACTGTTCTGCAGATGTCACAAAGGTTTTTTGATGATCTTGAGTAAAATAAATCTGCAATGCATAGTCTTTTCTTTTCATTGTAAAAGGAAGTAATACTCATGCACTAATGCTGCTGGTTTGGCCCCAGCCTGGACGTGTTGTTGCAGGGCCAGAGAGCAGAGGTGGAGTCCATGATCACAGATATGGGTATCAGCCAGGCAGCAGTGGAGCAGCTCTCCATCTACTGTATCTCGCTCAAAAAGTAAGGAGCCCGAGGAGCTGTTGATCACTCAGTGACAGATCATTATGACACCACATGGTTTAGAGCTTCAGTCCTAATGAATGCAACTTCCCTGTCGTCCTGTTTTTTCAGAGAGTATGATAATCTGAAAGGAACCCTGAAGTCTTCAAATGACATGTGTGAGAAGCTGAAGAGAGAAGTGCTCGCCTCAAACAACAAGGTAAGTTTATGTCAGTGAGTCACCACCCAGAGGAATCAGTTCTTATATGTGGGCTGTCTAAATCAAAGTATTTTTTTTGTTTTTGTTTTTTTGACTCATTTTAGTTACACAAAGCGTCAGTGGAGGTGAATCAGACCAAAGAGGAAATTAAGTCTCTACAGAACGATCTGGCCAATGCGGATAAAGAGATCTCTGTAAGGAAAACCAACCAAATATGCTTTTACTTTCAGTATCAGAGAAAGCCATGGTTTTCACCCCTGCATGTATGTGTGTCCGCAGAGTCTGAAGAAGAAAGTGGAGTTTCTTCAGAGGACTCTGAGCACCCCGACACGGACAAATGAAGCCCTAAGTCGGCTCGTCTTTGAAAGGTGTGTGTGCCCAGCCAGTGGACTGAAGTCTCTGCATGCTTTTACTTTCCTCAATGAAAACATCAACTATGTGCCATTTATCCATGAGGTTTCTCTGCTTATCGTTCAGCCCGGCCCCAATGGAGCTGAAGCAGCCTCGCCTCCACCATCCTGCAGGCAGCGACATTGACCTCAATATGACTTATGACATCACTACGCCGGATGATGTGGCCAAGAGACCGACGCAGGTCCCGTCCAAGAAGATGCGGCTTGACCCTCCGTAAGTTTAACGAGGCTCATTGTGGGAATGTGTATCTTAAATTAGAGAAAGTAGAAATGCCTTCAAATGTTTTGAAAAATGCTTTATTTTCCAGGTCATCCAAACACAGCGACAAAAGTTCAAGTCTAAGCAAGGTAGGTTTTTAAATGTCACTCGACTAGGTCCATTTTTCAAATTAGGTGTACATGTCCCTCAAGATATTGTCTTACCTCAGGCTCGAGATGAGGATGGATCCATGGATCCTTTCTTGAGGAACTCCCTCCTCTTCAGAAAGAAGACTTTCGGTAGCATGTTGGACCCTCAGAGGAAGACTGGAGTCGTATGTACAACACAACCACCTCGGGTCTAACGGTTTAATAAATAATTTGTCCTTTTAGTGGTTTGACGACAGAAAATGTTTCTTTTCCAGGTGAGAAGTGGTTATGATGGTTTAGGAGGACGCACTAAATTCATCCAACCCGTATCCTTTTTTGATTTGAATCATTAATTTGATCATTGATTGATTATTTACCAGTTTGGTGTTGATTATTCATCTTGACGATTTTGGGCTTACTTTTAGTGGAATATTAGTTAGGTGATGTCCCGATCAATGTTGTTTATTTTTTTTGCACTGGTGTGGTGAGTATGGTTGTCATCAGCTCTCCTCTGCTGTCTGTCTCTCCTCCGAGCAGGGGCTCACCCCCAGCTGGGGAGCGGAGTGGAGGAGAGGCAGACAGCAGAGTGTTTACAACTGCTGCACTGTACATGAAAGCTTTGTGAATAAAAATACCTGTATGACAGCTGATGTGAAACAAAGGGGCAGATCAGGCTCAGTATAGCTCAGTATAGCCCAAAAGTTAAAACACGCCTTCATCCACTCCAATATCGATCATTCAGATAGGATCAGTACTATTAGCCCAAATAGCCTATTTACGGGGCAGTGTGATATTTAACAGGATGTAAAGCTGCACTCATTTATATTTTT